ATATATATATATATATATATATATGAATAACACTTGTTTCTTACATCATTTTTGGACTCAACAAATCATATGCATTCGTAGATATTACATCTATATAAAATAAGGTACAAATCTCTGTATTTGGAATTGCTACAATTACGTTTGTTATACTGTACATTATTGCTCTGTGAATATCGAACGATCATTGTTTTCATGTTCTCCTTAATAACAGAAAAAATTGGTAAATATAAGACTTAATTAATATACGAGTAATAAAATATGTTCGCAACAGTCTTATATATATATCTTCTTTAAAAACGTTAATCATACGTAAGTATCAAAAATACAGTAGAACTTTCCTTATACCAAGATTTAGATTTCTTACAATTTTGTTTCTTTTTACTGTTTCCTAAAACAAAAAAAAAACCAATTTATCAGGAGTTTATATTTTGTAAGAGAAAAAGAAAGAAAAGAATTAAGAATTACTCACTTTCTTCGCTCGCCTCATCGATGGCAGTAGTTTTTCCGAACTCGCCAATATAATCGGAGCAACCTACTAAGGGTACTTTGGGGAATAATCTTTTGAATATCATTGATTCTTCATTGTACGGTGCGTCGTTGTATATAGGACCTGTACGCATTTTGTTCGTGAAAATAAATCCTATGGAATGTTTCTTTAATTTCACTTTGTCCTTAAATAACATTAATCTCGCTTCGATTCGCTTCTTCGTATTGCATTTCCTTTCCAAAATCGTGGACCACGTCCGTATAAGGCCAGTAATTAGAACGGCGACACAAGATGTGTGCGATTTCTCAAAAGGCTCGACTCTATGTGCTTTGCACGAGCCAGTACGTGCACGTTGTGCATGAATGTTTTCCACCACACCACCCCATACGGAAACCGCTTTATTTTTTATGCTGAGTACATGCAAAAAAAAAGAAGTAAATGTGCTATTAGCAATATCGTAGTACCACAATTGGACAAACTGATAAACTCAGATATGTATTATTGCTTGAATTAAATATATATTTATTAATTATATATAAATATATAAATATAAATATATGTATATTATACCTTTGCTGTATGGCTGAGGCCCAACGTTTTGCTGTGACAATACCTATTGCTGTGTCACAATATGAATATAAGTTATATGAAAAGTTGTTACAAAATAGCATAAAACATGTAGATGTCTCATGATTCGAGGTAGATATTTCATTATTAATAATTGTGTTAATTATCTCCTGATATTCGACTGTTTGCCATATGTTACGATTACAATTTTCGGACAGTTCGAATGATTTTACTTTCACATTCGGAACTTGTGGCAAAAACGCACATACCATATGTGGATATTGTTGACACATTACTTCTTCCAGAATAACATATCTGCTACACAACATTATAATTTCACAACGTTTAGGTAGCAACTCTGGTAGAAAAGTCTCTACATGTTCTTAAAAAGAAAGATTTATTTTAATAATCTTACATTATTCTATGATATTATTATATATAGTTCAAGGGAAAAATGAATAAAAGAACTTATAGTATTAAAGTAGTATTAAAATATTTAAAAAAATAGTTTGTCATAAATCAGAATAAAATATTTACTTGCTACTGTTAGGAGCTTTTTATTTATCTGATACTTATGTGTAGCAGAGAAAATATTTAAAAAAACATAAAATATACCTTCTATTTCATATCTGATTCCTGTAGGAATGAAAAAGAAACCTACTGATGGTTTAATTCTTATATTCTTGATACAACATAAAAAATCGTGTTGTGTATAAAGTTGTAAGCAATAAGGACCTCTTGTCAATTTCTCATCATTAGCAGCTTCTAACCAGGATCTGAAAAAAATAATTTCATGCTCAAATTTATCCTGTGTTTAGCTTACACTATCACGTACTTTTCATTCGCAATACAACAATGTTAAATTTACAATTACTAATAGTTTTATCACGAATAAATTTTTAAAGACATGATATGAAATGCCACAAGAGATTATTTTGTAAAAATCAATTCTTGTTCGTATTTATTCACATGCACATATAATGCCAGAAAACTTTAACAATATTATAGCATTCTGCTTATATTAAATAAAAGTATTCAGAATTAAATCGAGCATGGATTATTAACGGTAGATCATGTGTACCTGCAAACCATCGCCGCGCTCGCCAGATTCCTTGCATCTAAATACTGAAAAATGATTCTCAAAATATCGTAGGATATAAAACAGGTATTTTCCTTTCGCGTTGGCTCCTCCATCAATCTTTTTCAATTTGAACCAGCCACTTATTAGTTGCTTTTTCATTTTAAAAACTCATGACCACACATATATGACGACCTTTTTCCTGTTACCGCAAAATGCTCTCGTGGAGTGTGGACTGACGCTTCCTGAAGAAGTGCAGGGACTGCAGGGTGTAAAAATTATATAGACAACATCCACTTTACCGCACCGCGACTTGTCAGACACGTCGGTATAAGTTTACCGGTCTATGTGACCCAGCGATTCATTGCTCCTCATATTGAGTAGCGGACACCCTGTATAATTCTCTCAACAAAATGAAAAATATTAACGTTTCATTTTTTAATAAATATAGAATAACGTAATATTTGATACCAGAATAAAAATAGGCTTTTTCTTATTTTTCCACATAAAAATGTATTTTCGAATGCGCAATTTTTCGAAAATATAAAGCCTCAGCGCAGTCACGAAAAGTTATAGCACGGACAAGCACCACAAATTGTATACCCGCGGTGCGGTAAAGTGGATGTTGCTATGTAGTTTACATCCATTTCTTCAGGGGGCGTTAGTGCTTAGTGTGCATTTTGCGATAGCAGGTGAGGAAAAGGCCATCTGATCCGGTGTTATACGAGAGGAGCTTGTTCTCTCTCAAGTTTCTCTTTGGTTTACTTCTCCTTTTTCATAGGGCACCTCCACCGCTTCACCTGTGTTGTGATCTATTACCACGTGTGCTGTTTGTTAATATTTAATTAATTTGACCGGATTGATCTTCATTCGAGGACAGGAGCCATTAATATAACAAGAGGAAGAAAAGAGTTATTTATAATCAATTGCTCCAATCTTGGGACTGCGCGGTATTGAAAAGGAAGAAATTTAATAAAAAATTTTGAATAATTCACAAACATGGATCAGAAAAATGCGAGCGAGAGCAGCGAGGACTGTACGATGGATTGCGACGCGGAAAATGAATCGACACAGATTCAAAAAGAGATCGTCGAGGTTAGGGCTGAAAAACCTGGCAAGAAGGTTAAAAGGGGTATAATCTATCTGTCCACAATTCCAAAGTATATGAACATCATGATGATCCGGGAGATGTTTTCTGCCTATGGGAAAGTGGGCAGAATATATCTGCAGCTAGCCGACAATGGTTCGTCTTAGATTTCTCTCACAACATTAATCGTGAATTTTTTTTGTATAACATAACCTAGTTTTAAATTTAATTACCATTTTATTGCGATTATGCGATTTTACGATTATATTTCATATAAATACAAAAGACGTTTTAGAAACTCAAAAAATTACATAGGTCAATTATTTTAAATTGTTGATCGCGAATATAATAACGTTTCATTTGAAATATTGCAAAATTATTGATTGTGAATATATAATAATAGCGTTTAATTTGAAATATTGCGAAATATTTGCAGAGACGCAGTCGGCGAAACATAAGAAAAAGTCCAAGAAAGTAGTCAAGCATTTTACTGAAGGTTGGATAGAGTTTGAAAGCAAGAAGGTGGCGAAATTTGTAGCAGATACGCTAAACAATACTCAAGTGTCTACGAGAAAGAAAAGCAAGTTCTACGATGTTATGTGGAATATAAAGTATTTGCCTAGGTAAAACAAGAAATTTTTTATTGACTAACATTCAATTAATTGATTCATTATTTATCTTTTATGACTCTTTTTTGCAGATTCAAATGGATTCACTTGAGTGAACGTTTGGCGTATGAACGTGCAGTTCATAAACAAAGACTTCTGACGGAAATAGCGCAAGCTAAGAGAGAAATTAACTTCTTCTCATATAACGTAGATAGAAGTAAAAAGTTGCGTAGGAAACAAAAACAAGGAGAGGAAACCGCATTTGAATTGCCTGAAGTTAAACAAAGGGATACTGATAACGAGATAAGGAGCAGGAAAGAAGAAACGCGTGTAGATGACAGAACGGAGTTCCTTAAATCCATATTTGGATAAGATTTATAAACATGTAATTATATTATTATGTTCATATAGCGTTTAAGAATGTACAAAATTATTCTTTATTAAAGTATCTTATAATTAAGCCTGTTGATATTCATATTAAACATTAAGTTTTATGAATAATTTTGTTACACATCACTACATAATACTGCATATTATATATTTTTTTTGTTTGGTAAAGTATTAAAGTAAACATTAAATTATTAAAAGAAATTTTTACAAATATTAAAACATTGAAGATGGAAAGTAATACCTATGCGCTATGCACTAGAAAAAATTACATGAACTGTGATTTATGAAGAACATAATTCATCATATAAAAATATTCTATTGTACAATAAATACTTTATTTGCTTGTTACATTGAATTAATATTATTATAGAAAACTGCAGAAGAAAGTTGTGGAAATAACATTCATCAAAAAATTTTCGCGTCACGAAGAATCCAAGACCATTGGTAGAAATTGTATTAGATGAAATGATTACCGCATCAATGTTCATAGCGCTGGTGTTACAACGTAATGATTGAAATAGAAGGTAATTTTTATTTATTTTTACGATTTTAGAGAAATTAATTTTCTGAACAGAAATATGAGAGGGGATGCTTAAAATATAGGATTGGTTTCATCACAACAAAGAGTTTCGAAATATTGTAATTATTTTTATTATTGTGTGCAACAGCCACGACTATTTATCAGGCCGCATATAAAGCGTGTCATGTATTATCGGGCGCGGCAATACTCAATTTTAATAAATATTTATGTAAGGAAATAAATTATCAACTTATTCTTCTTTGCCTTTAATTTTGCATTGATGTTTGAAGTTTTATTATTACACGTTTTATTACAGAATTTCTTATTTTTTTGTTACAACTAAATAAGATTATTAAACTATGAAATACATATATTAATATATATATATATATATATATATATATATAATGTATATATGTACAATTAATTTGACGATAAAGAAAATGCTAATCACACAAAATAAGCAAATCAATACTCTGCTATGACTGCGAACTGCTAGAAATAAATACATATTTTTCTTCAAAGCAAATAAAATTTATATTTAACATTGGATTCAATACTTTGGTTACATTTATTTAATTTACAGTATAATATTTAGTATAATATTTACTGTACATAAGTATTATTGATTATTGTAGGTATATGTAAATCTCTCTTCTATGAATCTTTACATGATATTTCTACTCAAAGTTATAACATCGTTAGATTACAAATTAATAAAAATATAATTAGAACATGTAGCTGTCAATACAAAAGCATATTATAGAAACATGACTTTACCTTGCATAAGGAGTTCATATTTTATGCGATGAGTTACGATTCTGAATATATTTAAATCGCAAATCGTCACGTCTTCTTTTAAAGGAATTTTACGTGACACGATGATTTAATCGATTCCGTGTTTACAAATTGTGCATAAATCAGCATAAATTGTTGTGATTATAACAAAAGTTGTATACGTGAAAGTTCACGTTTCTTAAATTATTCGTTTACATCGAATTCGAAAACAATAATTGGCATGTGTGAAATTCAGTGATAAGACGTTTCTTTCTCGGTACAAAACTAAATGCTTCATCATATAATGCTGACTTGAGCGTATCTTCTTGTCTTGAAATTGTGTCTTCGCGCGAAAGCGTTAAATCTAATTCGGTCGAATTACATCGGTGAAATTTTCAAACTTTATAGGTGAGGATCATCATATATTATGTTTCTATTCAAAATTTTATCTATCTTGAACTATTTTATCTACCTTGGAAATTTCTTGTGCTCACGCAATTTTATAAAAGTTCTTTATTATATCTTTTCTAATAAATATTCCAATTACAATTATAAACTTGTTACATTTGCACAACAATGGAAAAGTGTGAATTGTTTTATAAAGATTGATAACAAAATTTTATTTTTTCCTATTTCTGTTTATACTCTAGAAATTAATATTCACTTAAAATAATTAACAAAAGAATTGAAGAGTAATCTGTTGTGATTTATACAGGATAAATTGTTACAAAGATCGCATAAGAAATGAGATTCACATTTGCACTATTGCTTAGTCTCGTGTTCTCCGGACTCGTTACAGGAACAGAATGTTATTCGGATGTGTATAATGATATAGACGTGGATGCGATTATTAAGAGCGATCGTCTTTTAAATCAATATGTGAATTGTGTTCTCGATAGAGGCCCCTGCACCGTCGATGGACACAGTCTTAAACGTAAGTGTACATTGCAGTTTGTGTTTTAATTGTTGATAATTTTACCGCATTTTTGTTATAAAAAAAAGGAAAAAGGGATTTGGATGAAAAGAAAAGAGAAAAAATGTAAAAAAAGAAAATAGTTGGTATTTATGTGAATATATCCGCGAAATATTTAATTCTTTACGTATGTACATAAATATCAACATTTATGATATAAATTTATTTATATTTATATTTTTGATATTTATTTATCAATATACATTGAGATAAAAGCTAAATACTTGATTTATTTGCATAGGTATTCTCCCGGATGCGATAGCCACATCTTGCGAAAAATGCAACGAAAGGCAGAAACATTCGGCAAGAAAAGTAATCAATCATTTGAAACAACATAAACCAAACGTTTGGGCAGAGATTGTCGGAATGTGTGATCCTAACAAAGAGCATATTGCATCTTTCGAACGATTTATGACTGGATAAGAAACTTAAACGAAGGCCTAATCTTTTCTTTGTTTATTGTTTTAAATATATACATTATGTGTAAATAATTCTCTGTAATAATATTTCATTAAGAGATTTATCGATTTTTTTTACATAAAGTATATGTAGAAAAGAAACATCTATTATCTGAATTAAGAATAGTGTGCAAATGAGAAATAAAACAGCAATCTAAAGGAGTAAAAGATATATATGTATATATATAGTTCTCTTAAAGTTGCCAATAAAATTTTTACGATATTATAAAATAAGATATACAGTTAATTAAATAATTGATCCTAAGTTAACAAATGCATTTTATAACAATGTTAAATTCCGATTACGTCTAAACCGTGACGTCTAAACATTTGATTATATTTTAATTCTATTCTTATTTCAATCCCATATAATATATAGTAATTAAATATATTAATAACTTTCATAAGAGATATACGCTTTTTAATTTAATTTTTACATAGCAAGATTGTTTCAAATTTAACGATTTGTTTTTAATAGATTCGAATCATGTAACTTTTATTATCCATATATTTAGTGAGGAAATAAGTAATGACAATTTTTCAATAAATTGTATCTACATCTAATAAAAAAAAGAAAGAATATTGCCTTCATTGTTTGTTCGAGAAAGATCTTAAAGTCTGTTTCTCTTTTTAAATTTCTGTTTCCATTATTTATATATTAACATATAATATTCACTCATTTTTTAATTACATTATATTATTATATTTAATTAAATTACGTTATAGTAGAAGTATATGTTTGAAAGAAAGTAATTTTCAAAATTATTTATATTCTGTATCATTCCACGATAAATCAGCATGTTCTATATTTATACAAAACACCATCTTAGAGAGCAGCTCTCCGTTCTTGAACCCATATCGGAGTTTTAACCATTGTTCCTCTCTTTCAAACTTTCCCAATTCCTGTGAAATAAAAACAACTGTTAGAAAAGAAATTTCGAAACCAGAATGTATTTAAAATGTAAATTCGAACAGAACGAATTTTGTTTCAAGTATCAGCATTTGTATGTATCGTGCGCATTTTTTTTTATCAATATTTCATGTTTGCATTAACATCGTGTTAAAATTATTTAAATTTACAAATTTAAATAAATATAGTATAGGCGGTTTTGTTGGTTGCTCCGACTGTTGAAACGAAATTTGTGGAAATCTTTTTATATCCAAACGAATGTTGTGGATTCAAAACATTCGTAGTTAAATTTATGCAAATACGAACTTTGGAATCACTCTTACATACGTGTATGTGTGTACGTAAATGTATTGCCAAATATTTAATAATTATAAAAATAATATAATTACATTTGCAATTTTACAAACGTCCATGTCTGATTTCGAGAGATTCTGGGAATTACAGTTGATATTGTCAATCTGTATCTTCGGTTCTCCAGTACATATAGTACGGTTCCTGCAATTGCTTACCGTAATACGTATCCTGTATATTGTGCTATTGTCTTCCTAAAAAATATTTTGTAAGTGAAATATTTTGTGATAAAATATTTAAGAAAAAATATTTTTATATGCGTTTTATATGCAGAATTTTGTGTACTTATTTTATTAAATTTTAAGAATTTTATGTGTACTTATTAATTTACACATTGGATTAATATTATGTATTTTCCAATCATGCAGTCTTGCTTGGGTATAAATGTGATTAAGATTTTGTACCTCTTTATAAGTAATGTTACATGAAATTATTTTCGTGTTATTAATCCAGTTGAGTGTAGTATTCGTTAAAATCCATTCTTCTGGATCACACGAATCGAAGGTCGTATGAGTCTGAGAAAGAAAAGTTAACGGATTATGTTCAACGCCGCTTTATACAAATGTTCTTGTTATCTTTTACTGGACTATAATTTACGAGATCATAATATTTATGAAAGCGTTAATTTCGTGAAATGGAAGAAAAATAAAGAAATTTAAAATGCTATTTTATATATTAATTAATACACAATAATAATTTGTTTCTTATTATCAACGGAAAAATTTTATTTCCAGATTTTTATGTAGGTAAGGAAACATAATTGTACATAGTTAATGAAGAACTTTTGATAAAAGAAGAAGAATTTAGAATAGAATATAAATGTTGATGCACAAACTAAAAATGCGTAATTATACAACATTTAAAATTTCAAGGCTTGAGATAATATTGTTAACTACGCTCCTATCTTGTATGAAAATTTTAGATTTACATGTTGCAAAACGAGAAATAATATTTAATATAAATTTCAATACACAATTCTAAATAATTTTATAAGCAACATTAATCTGCTTCTTTGTATAGACGTATAATAGTTTACATAATTTATGTAATAAAACTGACAGAAACAAATGTTATAATTCAAGCGTTAAAATGGAAATATAATCTATTATACAGTATAATTACTTACGAGTTGCATCATTGCCATGGTCGATGCTATGACTAATAGACAAATAAATATCACGCAGTTGGGCTTCATTTTGCGATAGAATCTACGGACGAATATTTTTAATTAATAAATTAGTGCGATAATCGTGATCTATCTGTGATATATATATTTGTATGATTAATTTGATTTCTTATATCTTAAAAATGTAAATAATAATGCCACTAAAATATACTTCATTAAATTCGATCTCTTTTTGCTGCTAAATAATAATGATAATTAATATAAAAATATTACTGATATATCTGAGAAATGTATCACATATGTTGTAAACAAAATGATGATTGAATTAACGAATATTTAACGATTAATTACAGAGTTATCTTAAATTTTTAAAGTTTAATATTTATATTTGGTATGAAACATATTCAAAAATACATGACTAAATAACAAAATTTTATTAATATTTTTTTTCACGTAGATTTTAACAGAAATCTTCTTTGCGGTCTTATTGCAAACAGAAAGTTGTCAAGATATTATAGTATCGGAAATTATGGTGGAAATTACAATCTTAAAAACAATTTTTATTAAAGTGAAATTACGTATGCTATGTTAAAAGTATAGTATAATTAACGTTATTAAATATGTCAAATTACACATATACGTTTGTATTTTGTGCTATAAATTTTTATGGACACAATAGATATTAAAATTATATAGATAATTTTTAAATTAATGCTAAATAAACGTTTATAGAATTGAGAGAAAAATAATACAAAGTGTTATAAAGCAGATTTTCTAAATCCGGATTTAGATGATCTGTAATTAAATTTCACAATGGAATTATATTGATGATTTTATTTACCGTGTATTTCGATACGCGTATGTATCTTAATATATATTTTATATATATGCATGCCTTATGATTCTTTGCATGTTTTTCGTATAATATATAAAATAAATCTTAATCCTGAATCTTTCTGACAAATATATAGATAATTGTTTAAAAAGTATGTCATTCTCTTCTTATAAATCTTCTATTCCAAATTAAAGTTTTGATGCTATACATGATAAACAAGAATGGGTTAAAATTAATAATTTTCTTACCTGTTCTTGTTATTACTCGGACGGCAAAAGACACACTAAAACTGTAACTAAAATACATAGCGCAAAACGACTAGTCAAATAAGCAAGCCGTGATAAGCATTTAGTGTAGGCAATTTTTGACTTAGTCATGTCTAGCATTAGCATTATGAGTCAAGCTATAGGAAAATGTTTAAGTCTTTGAATAATTAGGATATTATAATTAAAACATTTTTTCCTACATATTTTTTTGCTTAATAGAGATTTAAATTGCAATGCAGTTGTCATTATATTATGACAGTTGAGAGAAATCTGTACTTAAATTCTTTTAATCGTATAAAAAAACTATATAAGTAACATAGAAAATTCTTGAAAAATACTAATGATTACTGCTGAATAATACTATTATAATGATTAGTAGGAGAAAGTTTAATTATAATACCCTAATTCTATGCAAAGAAAGATATATGTTCATTATTTTGATAACGTATTTTTTCTTGAATCTTTATTTAAAAATCTGAATTTAACTAAAATTGATATTTAGTTTCAGACTTTAATTGAAAGATCCAATTATGATTCAGTTATTTTTTAGAGTGGTTTTTAATTATATTTAATTCCTTTTTCTCTCATGTAAAAAATATTTTTACGTACATTATAGCGTTTATTTTAACGTTTACCTAATACAGTATGTCTCTTTATTAATTTATAAATTTTAGATATTAAATATTAATATTAATAAGTGCAACAAATATGCGTATTTTAACAGCATATGTGAAATTATAACAAAAGCTATCATCAGTAAAAGTCGATGTAGAAATTATTCAGCTTTGTCTTCTCTAATCATAATACAACGCACATTTTTATAGAGCTCATCTGTAGTTAATGATTCCCCAGGCTTACTTAACCATTCGTTCTGTTTTTCCATACTTGCTGTGTCCTATGAAATAAATTAAGTAATTATTAGACTTTTAAAGTGGAACATATAATACACATTTAAAGTATAAGAAAGAATAGAAGTCATATACGTTAATCTTGTGTACATACAATTGTTTATGCATTAATACATGGCACATGCAGTATGATGATAAAGCCGCATATGTATGTAAAAATGACGTTCAGCCTTCGGCAACAGCATAGCATGTTGGTGTGAAAATTTCAAGAGATACATAAAGGCTAATAGACAGAATTTGAAGCATCTATTTTTATATTTATAATGTATATGTCTAATGTCGATCGAATCTACGAGTACTTTTTTATCTCTTCAAGAAAAGAAGTAAGAAACCGATGATGTTATAAAATTGAAGAAGAAACTTACTAATAATATAATATCAATTGCCATATACGATCTAATCAGAGCGATGAGACATTATATTAATGTCTCTTTCTGATCTATTTTATAGTAAATATTGTATATAATAATTTATAATGCGTATAATAATTTGACTTGATTAAATATATGTGTGATCTGAGCAAATCAAGCTTTTATGTTTCACTTTAATTCACACGACTTAGAGAATTTGCATGAAATCATAATAGAAAAATAAAATAAAATCTTCTATTAATTGAACATATATAATATTTTCAAAAGTGTTTTTTTTAGATTTAGGTTTGTCTGTCAGTATGTAATACTTGTGATTAATTAGATCAATTCTATATCTATTTTTGAGTTAGGTACTCTTTTATTTAATAACCCAGGCACATACACGTTTAAATGTTTTCAAATGTGCAATCACGATTCCGAGATCGCTAAATCTATTACGCAATGTCATTTTTTCTGCATTTTGGTTTTATTTCGATAAATTGAAAAAACAAATACGTTGTCATAATTCAAAATGAATCGAAATATAATGTATTACGCAATGATATAATTACTTACAAGTTGCATCATTTCCATTGCCGATACTATGACAAATGAACAAATAAAGATTACGCACATGAACTTCATATTGCAAACCTGTTGATAAATATTCTTTTAATAAGTAAATTGAATCGATATTTTCTTAAGATTACGATAAATGTGATTTATCTGGAATACATGATTATTTAATATTTATATAATCAAAAACTAACATTAGTATTATTAAAATGCTTTTTTTGAATTTATTTTTCTACAAAATAAAAACGATAATCAATAAATATTAATAAACTAATAAATATTAATGATTTTTATAAACTTTTTATTATAAGTTAAAATTTTAATACTGTATTATAAAACAAAAAATTGTATAAGATCAATAATTTTTTTACCTGCAGTATACAAATTAACACTTGATCGATACAATTATTCTGTACTAGCTAGAATTGCTGCATTAATTTATATACTGCATTTATTGTACTTACGTGTCTGATTAATTGTAGCTAATTTTTCTGACGTAAATAGTTATATATGTATATATATATGTAACATTTGCATCTATAATGTAAATGGCTGCGATCCAGGGAGCACACTGGCATTATCAGCATTATATGCCATTTATATTGTCAGTTAGTCTGACCTTGTTTATTTTTGTCCAAATGAACAATAAAGGTAAAATGAAACGCAATTGCGCTGAAGCGCGCTTCTTGAACGCAGCCAAGGAAAATTTTTATTTTTGAATCTTTTGATAATATGCATAATCAACTAAAAATACATTTATTCTTGTATATTATAATATCTTTATTAATTATAATTACTTATCTCTCAACAAATATATATTACTACTAAACGGAAATGGATTGAAAATTCAAATTATGAATTAAAATAATTTGAAATGGATTGGTCTTTGTGGATCAAATTATAAATGCATTTCTATAAAGGCCAATCCATTTCAATTCATGGTTTAGAAAATTTCAATTTATTTTAATTAAAATATATTTTAATCCATTTCCGTTTATTGGGTAATAAATCAATTAACAAATAAAAAATTTCTACGAATTGGCGTAAGTTTAAGTAATGTTTTATAACTTCGCATTACAAAAAAAGATATATATATATATATATATATATATATACAGAATATAATTCATATAGATAAAGATATAGCGTGTGCCTTCACGTTAAAAATTTCAAACTTAGCAAAAAGAATGATTCTTTCGAAATATTATATGTGATTGATTGTATGATTTATTTCTAACCATAATTTATTCTTATGTTATTTAGTATATATATATATATATAAGAAATAAACTGTGGATAAAGCTGTACGTGGCTCAAACATTTGAATTTTTAATATACTTGTTAATTTGTGTTTTAAAATATTTTTTATGATTGTGCGACGATACGTAAAATTGCCATTTGAATTATTTGAATTATTTGAAAGATGAGTGACGTCAGCAATTCTAACCTAATTGTAATCTAACCTGTGAGATCATGAGATGAAGCATGGGGCACAGCATAGGAATACACATTTACAATACACGCGACGACGAGATCTGCCGGGTGTTTATGCGTGCATACTGCATTGTGAGATTTGTGAGCTTGGCCAAGTTTATCCCTGTCTGAGGGGACTAAGGCCGTTATAGGAAAAGGAAGAAGAAGAAAGAGGTGAATTTGAAGACGCATGTTTACTACTCGATAAACAACAACAAAAAATTTAACTTATTCTAACTCAAAACTTAAAATTTAGGTTATACCTCCTGCAGGCTTGCACATAAATTGACATGAATATTGACGTTACATAAACTTTATTTACATTTATTTTCTTATTGTTTCAGAAAATAGTAAGAAATTTCATTTATGATGGAAGTGGAAGAGCAGAGTACCTCGACGAAGCATGACGGGTTCGAAACTATTGAGCAAAAGTATGTACTGTATTGATAGATTTGTCTCTGTAGCTGCACCACTTTATATCATTCATTTACATATTTATTTCTTTTCTTCACAGAATAATCGCTCTTGCACAAGGGAGACCTAAAGGTATCTCGGACAAGGATCTAGCAGTTGAGGTGCCAGATTTGCAACCAGATCAACGAGCTCAGATCATAAACAAGCTTCTGGCCCAAGGGTACCTTGATCTCTTAAAAAAAGGAAACTTACCGTTTTATCGCTTGAAAGACCCAACGCTAACGAAACTCGTTAAATGCGCTGACAAGGAGGAGAAGATTGTGTACGAAATTATTAAAGATGCAAAGAATAAAGGCATATGGACTCGAGATATAAGACGAAAGTGTAATTTGATACATATTCAGTTACAAAAAATTTTGAAGAGCTTGGAAAATAAAAAGTTCATCAAGGTTGTCAAACCCGTGGCGGCGAGTAAGAAGAAGGTATATATGCTGTACAACCTGGAACCGGATGAGTCTGTAACAGGCGGTGCCTGGTATCAGGATCAGGACTTTGAGACGGAATTCGTCGACGTGTTGAATCAGCAGTGCTATCGATTTCTGGAGCAAAAGAGGGAAAAGATGAAGAATTGCAACGCCGGACCTGTAGCTGCGAGAAACATGACGTACGCCTCTTCCATGGAAGTCTGGAAGTTTATCTCGGATTTAGGTATAAGCAAGGTAGTATCTTTTATTAAAACATTTTTTCCTCCCATGTCAAAGCTATGGTTAAAGCTGTTGTTGCTAAAAGAATTAATATTTTCACAGGTGACATTATCTGTGACTAACATAGAAATGATATTAAATACCTTGGTTTACGATGGTAAGGCTGAACGGATATTAGCGGCAGATGGAAGTACTTTATACAGAGTGGTTCAGCCTTTGCTGAATTTACCTGGATTGATAAAAACCCCTTGCGGCTTGTGTCCAGTAAGATGTTACAAATACATCATGTTTACTATAAAAATTATCGACACGAATGAATAAAATCAATCAAATAGACAATAATTAGCTCCTTTGTGGCTAATAAGCTATTTAAAAAAACTAAATCGAGATTAGTACGAGTCTAAAAGCAAATATCCATGAGATAATACAATTATTTTTATATATTTTTAAGTTTTCTACTGAATACTGAATTCATTTTTTGTCATTGATCAAGGAGGGCTTTATTACAGATAAAAATCAACATTTTGGGAATTATTTTTAAGAGTGTATAAAAAAGTTAATTGTATTATCACGGATATCGTCTCTTTTGAGCTTGTATTGGCCACAACTTGATTTTTCCTAATCTTCAGAAATATTTAAACAATACTTTATATTTTTCAGGTGAGAAAACAATGCTGTGACGAAGGTCCTATTACACCTGTCAAATGTCAATATATTAGAGAATGGCTAGAATAAAGAATAGAAGACTACTAGAACATTTCTAATTATTATTTGTATTATAATATTTTATTTAATTAAAGAAGATGTATCAACTAATTGTATAAAAATTAGTATTATTTATAAAAATAAACATTACATTTTCATTTTGTTTCTCAAATTTTATTTAAATTGTGCATTTAAAATATACTAAGGTCTTATTTAACATGATAAAGACAATTATTTATATATATATACATTTTCAAAAAGTTTAAGTACAATTTGAAAAAGAGTAGTATCAAATTTCGGAAAGCATTCCACAGGAAAACATAAGTAGTAAAATTAAAACAGTAAGAGAATTGACCAATCACAGCCATAGATATATCTAGAGTGATATAATATATCATATATCTATGATCAGTAATTACAGCCGACAGTTTCGCGGAAGTGTGGCGATATAAGCGGATTGATCCGACTTCTCTCGCTGAAGGAAACGAACGGCTAGAATATTAGAAATGTGCCTAACGGTGTGACGGTGTCGCCAAGGGGAGCAATAAAGAGTGATAAAGCGATCTTATCTCAGCAGCTATTGTTTTGGAATCGGTAAAAGGAGTAAAATCAGAGGGAAACTTGAAAGCCCTGCCACGTCGGTCTTAATTGTCAATTTGCCGTCATCAAATCCTCCCGCGCACTAACGCCAACTGAGAAAGCGAATGTGAACTACGTAGCCACTTTTCTGCACTGCTGGTATGCAATTTGGTGCATGGTGTGTGTCCGCGCTACGTTCGCTTATAACAGTGCAGTCGATACCGACACACCTGTTACGATGCGTGTGTCCACGCTGCATTCGCAAACTTTTGTAGCATATATCTATAATTATTATTTTTATATGAATAATGCATCTGTAATTATTTTTACATATTTATTTTTATAGTTTGCTCAATGTGTATTCGACATAAATTGTACATACATAGTCACGCGATATGTTTTCAAACAAACAAATTACCACGTTCGTCTATGACGCAAGAGATTTTAACTTTGTCGTCAATTCACGCGAGGAAAATGAGTCTTCGTTTGACATTATCCTGCGGCGAACGTGGAAACAGGCTGAAGAGGTTAAAGCGTTCCGGTATATCTTAAATATAAGAGACAGTAAAATATTGAAGGGAAAATATAGATTTCTGGTGCAGGTATAACCACTACTTGACATGTAAAAATAATATTTTTTTTTTTCTTGATGCAATGACAATTTTTCAGTTAAATCCAGATAGAACTCAGTGTAGACGTGCCCCGGAATTAATCACGTCTATGTCACAACCTTTCAGTTCTGTACGTTTCAATTTCACTAAACTGACGCAGCAAGAGATACTGTTCGATGTTGGAAATGGCGACACAGTTGCAATCAATGCCAGCCCTTTGGAGCAGAATCATTGTTTACTTCTTACAGAACGTTCCAAGTGTTTGCCACAAGTTATGACTGAGTACAGTCTTTGCAAAGTGATAGAATTATGTCTATTAAGTAATTCATGGTAATCATTATTACAAACATTTACCTAAATGCGACACATAAAAATGATATTTCATCTTTTTCTCTTTGCTTCAGGTCTTTAAGGGCTTCTTTCAACAGTTTGTGCGCCAATGCCTCTGTTAATCATCTACATTGGCATTTATACTACTTGAAATACGAGATGCTTCTTGAGTATATCGTAGGTAATATTGTATGAGAGAGACATACTTAAATATTTACAAAGTATTATCGACATTTGTTTTGTCTCAGGATATTTGCGGCTATACTTCTGGTGTACACTTGCTGGTAGATTATCCAGCAAAAGGATTCTGTCTCAAATTATCTGATTTTAAAGATATCAAAGATTTCGTGGCCCGCGCATTCCTTGTAGTGAACCATTTACAGTTGCGTCAAATGGCACATAATGTATTTGTTACACGAGCGAAATCAAAGTCTAACGATGAATTGTACAATGATGTACGTATTTATATTTGGGTTAGAAAGCCATTAATAATTGGCATGAAAAACATGCCTACATTTCTGCCTGCATCTTGCGAATTCTTTGGACATTTAACAGTTAAAGGTAAGAATAGAATTAAATGTAAAGTTTTTTGATGAAACATCAATTATTGGAACTCTTATATGGAATATTATGAAATATTAAATAATTATAGCATATACATATATATTTTAGATGAAAATATATACAATAATCTAACAGAAGATGATGTAGTTAATGTTCTTTATGATATTACGGAAGAATGTTTTGTATCAATAAAAGATGAACTTAGAAATGTTTTGGAAAAATAAAAATATTAAACATTTTATTTTATATATTTTATTTTTGCGATATAATTAAATCCTATAAATTAAAAACGATTTAAATGTACAAACTGATAATTAAAATTTATAGCTACTTCAGGTGTTCTAGAGACAAGAATAAGAAAAGGTTTATATAAACATATTTTTTCAGATCGAGAATTGTAGTCTTGTGAAGAACCTCATTTTATTTTTATCCAAAAAATTATATATTTTGTTTTAAAGAAATGAGAGAATAATATGTGAAAATGTATAAACAGAAAACATCCCGTTTGAGTGTGTTGCGTTTGAGCACAGCCACTCGCAGTGACCTGACTGACCGGTATTTTGAAGTTTTTCAACTGTATCAACCAATCGAAAAATTTTATATTAAATGAGCCAATTGTACAAGCGACGTGGACAATCGGGGTTCCACTCATCCAATAGAGATTAATTTTAATCTCGATTTAATTTTACTTTTATCTTTTTTTTAATTCTAAAAAAAATGGAAAACTAAAAGAGCAAGTTGAACCGAGATTAAAGTCAATATATATATATTGATAAAATTGGACAATTTGATACTAAAGGTCACTACATATGAAGTTACATTTAAATGTAAAATTATATAAACATCTCGCGATCGCGATGAAAGTCTCAATATTAATGAAAACGCATCGCTTATCGGACACCTTATATAGCGAATACTTTCAAAGTGTTCCATATTACGACTTTGCCGACCTTAGATAAACAATTCATGTATATAACGGCCATTACGCAAAGTGGCGCAAGAGCGACTCGAATTCGATATAACAGATGCGGCGATATGGTCTTCTCTCTCTCTCTCTCTCTCTCTCTCTCAAATTAGTCTCGTGATTGGTTACCTGCGCCGTAACTAACTAATGTGAATAATTACGCGGCCATTTTGTGCCGCGCGCTCATTTCTCGCCGCCGCCGTCGCCGCCGCCGCCGCCGCGTATCGGAGGAGTTTCTCATGCCGAACAGTCGTCGTACGATTCGCGCGGGGCGCTGCGCAATGTTTTCCCGTCGTGCGTGTGTCGCACGTAGTGCCGATTGTTTATCCGCCATTTTGTTCTGACCGTCGTACGCGCAGTTTTTCGGCGTAGCGTACTAGCGTAGTGTGTCACGCTCGTGCAGCCCGAGGATGAGCGCACGCCGCCGCTGAGGCGCATCGCGGATCGCGCGTCGTGTATCGCTCCAACGATCCGCCGTGAAACGCGAACGCGGCATCGAATCCCTCCCCGTGTCGGCGCGGAGAATGTGAGAATATCCCCCCCCCCCCCCCCACGGAGTGTTTCCCCGCGGTGGACGATGTGACGGCCCGTGATGGCAACCCGTGACAAGTTACACCTGACCCAACTTTCCTGACTTTTGAGGCCAAATGACGATTACCAAATAAAACGGACGATTCTCGCCTCGTTCGTCACGTAAGTCCTGTTTCCCGGGGCGGTTTCGCGCCCCCCGGGCGAGCATAGCCCTCGGCACCGTGCGACGCCGAGTAAATTGGAAGTACTCTCTTTTTTTCCCTCCCCTCCGGTTTAACGGCTCCTCGCGTGATGCACGTCGAGGATGCTGACAGATCGATCCCGCGTATCGCGAGCTGCACGAATGTTTTTTTCAGTTTTCCGAACCGTTATCCGACTGCTCTCTCCCCTCCCCCTCCCCTCCCCGCCCTCCCGCCGTTCCCGTCGAAAAGAAACGGTGTCACCGAAGTGAATCTCCGTTGATCTCCGTTAATCCCATTGCGCATCCCTCGCGTTCCTGCTCCTGTCAATCGTGTCGCTTTCATTCGGCAGCTGTTACCTTTGGTTTGGTTACGTTCGACGGGGGCTAGAGTTACGTAGCGGCTACGCGGATTTTGTACGATATAAAATTACAGCGCCCGTTCGCACCTGTCAAAGTTGACAGTAAACATTGATCGCGTTCTTGTATGTACAGAGTAGGTTTATATACTTTTGCATTATTCAGGAGATATATTTGGGTAACCCTCGTTTTTCTCGTAAGACGCTTCTATGTATGATTTGAATCTGATATGATTAAAATAATTGTGAAAACTTTTACGTTTACAACATTTAAGTGAATTTAGTTCCTCTGATGATCGAAGAAACACAGTCGTTTTATCGTAACACTATGCGAAGGAAAGTAAAAGAAACTTCATCGCGTTTAATTCAATTTTTCAACAGTTTTATTCCTTTTCTGCTATATTAATTCACTATTTTAAATAAAACGATTTTATAAGAATTTAAATGCCATATTAAACGCATGTTATTCGCAAATTGTTAAAATGTGCTGCTTACATCTCACGTGCCCGTAACGATATAGCTATGAATTATTAATATTTTCATTATACATCCTTTCAATTGTAATTAAATAAATATTTGTGCAAGTGTGCTGTAGATAAACACTGCGTATTATTACATTGTAATTGACGGTCAATTATGTTTCCTATATGTTATAATTAATGGCACATTTAATATTCTGTTAACTTTCACTTGCACAAAGACAATATATTTGATAATGTGTTTTTGTTGTACATTTGTGTTGTAGAATGTCAGGGCAGAGTGGTGGACAACGAGTGTGTCTGGCTAAACTTAACGAACAATTGACCTGCAAGTTATGTGGTGGATATTTCATCGATGCGACTACCATTATAGAATGTTTACACTCATGTACAGTATCTTTCTGCTATGTCACACCACATATATATATATATATTTTTTTTTTTTTTAAACGATAATTCACAACTGGATAATATTATTGTGAGATTTTCAATGTGTTCTTTTTTTTTTACAGTTTGCAGAAGTTGCATTGTCAAATATTTGGAGAGTAACAAATATTGCCCGATCTGCGGCGTACAGATCCACAAAAAGCACCCGCTAGTAAATATACGTTCTGACCACATGCTACAGGATATTGTTTATAAACTGGTACCTGGATGCTATCAAAGTATGCTTCTTTTTCTTCAATAAGAAGAGAATCTACCATGTCATAGTTGCGAGGTGGCGAATGATGACAAAATAAAAAACGTTGTTTCAGACGAAATGCGATGTCGGAGAGAATTTTATGCGAAACATCCAAAAGCGTGCAGTAAAGCGCTGTCTTCGGAAGCCCGCGGAGAACCTATACATTCACACATATACTCTGCGGATGAATCTCTCAGCCTGTCTCTGGAATACTCTAATCCTAATACGGAAGAATTAAATGAGACGGACGTCTCGTCCGAGAAGTCTCTCTTAAGGCGATACTTTCGGTGTCCCGCGGCAGTTACAATATTCCATTTGCAAAAGCTAATCAGAGCCAAGTACGGACTTGGCGATGCGAATAGAGTCGATATAATGTACGAGGAGGAGACGTTGTGCAGTAGTTATTCATTAATGGATGTAATGTATATCTATCATTGGAGGCGGGTATGTATTTAATTCATTTAATATTTGATTCAATTATGTACGATGTGTATATTATTACTCAGAGTAATGTTGTATATCTATTGTATTGCAGAAAGTACCATTACACTTAAGCTATAGGATATTTGAGACATCCTCGAAACGCCTGAAATTGTCGGAGGACAACGCGAACTACAAAAAGTCACTGATGGACGCCGGCATCGATTCCATAGACTTGAAGGATGACAAATCGGGGAAACGCGAGTGGAAGGAGGTGCAATTGAAGATATCGGAAACGGGCGTGATGAGTATAACCGATATATCGGATACGGTGCACAAGAGGCAAGCGGAAATCGAGAATTTGCAAGAGAAAACTTCGGAGGAGACCGTAGCCTGCTCCATTGCGGAAATTAGCAAAGCGGATTCGGTGAAAATGGGAAACTGTGGTACGTCTAAATCATCTGCAGAGATACTGCAGTCCACCTTGATTATCGACGCGAAGAATCCAATTTTTTCCGATCCGAGCAATGCATTTCTCGTTACGAGCGACGTAAAGTTCGCGAACGAGAATTCGTCGACTAAGAATTGCGTGCCGCTAACTAATCAGCACAACGGGGGGACCGCGACGAGGCAGGCGATTGAAACGAGAAATTGCACCGCTTCGGCAAAATTGCAGCAAGACGCGCAAGAAGTGAAACTCCACAATCAAATTGCCAATGTCGAGGACAAGTCCGAGGCAGTTTCGCAGGAGCAGAAAGGTCACTTGGCGACGCAACTTGCAGCGGAGAACGTGGTTATCGAGGATAAAGAAAAAATGGATGCGAAGAAGATGGCGATAAATAATAACAACAACAGCGCAGATTTCCAGTCCGAGAGTCAGAAGGAATGCATAAAAAATTCGAGCGAGGCGAAAACGGGGAGCGCCGGATCGAAGATCGACGCGTTGAGCGCAAAATTGCAGTTTCAGCCGAAGATAGGTCAGGTTAATAACACTTACTCCAAGAAAGCGCCGAAGGAGAAACGAACGGGTCTTCAGCAAGGTGCGAAGAAATCCGATGTAAAGCCATCGGTCCAAGATACGAAACTTAGCGACGCGAAGGCGCAAACCAACTGTGAGAGCGTAACGGATCAAGTTTCGACGGTGAGTTCTTCACAAAAGTCGGTCGCGCCCGCGGTCGTGGCGTCTCAAAATGTTTCGGATCCCGCGTCCGGACCTGATAAGCAAAAAGCTGTCGACGAGAGGAGTAATCAAAGTATAAGTATCGATTTGCAGCAGGCTTTGAATTTGCTGGAGCAGAGGAACTCGCCCGTGCAAGCGTCGGTCGAATCCACCGCGAGGACGAGTCAAGTCGCCGGTATACTCGGTCAGAGAATGCCGAGCAACAATATCATAGTCAGCGAGGATATTGTGTTCGCTGTACCGAACGTTCCCACGGCCACGATCAGTAAAACGACACCGGCGTTTCCCCCGACGCTTCACAAGCTCGTGAGCAACTCGGCCGTTCTGGAGTCAGCGCTGAAAGATTCCGTTGGCGTGGCTCAGAAACCGTCGGGAACCGTGCCGCTTGTGACTTGTTCAACAGCTCCCAATAGCGTCCAAATGTCGCCGATGCCTCAATTCAACGTGCAAACGTCATCCGTAAATGTGTATTCTATACCCACGTCGCTGAAGAATAGTTACAGTAACGTAGACGTGACGGCCGCTGTGTCGACGGCGATGATCACAACGACGGCGATGTCGAAACCGGTGCTGACCGGCGCGTGCCCGATACCACCGTGCCCGGACGCGATCCCCATATCGCTGATGAAGCAAATGGCCATGCGCAAGCAGGACATGACCGCGAAGGGTACCAACCTGAATGAGATCTGCGCGAAGATCGGCTCCAACAACACGACCGGCTCGAAGATCAACGACATCTGCGCGAAGATAGGCGAGAATTCGAAGGAGAAGAACAGGGTGGACGCGCAGGGGAAGTCGGACGTGCCGGATCTGCTCAGAATAAACGCGAAGAAGAACTTGTCGCCGTTGCTACCCAATTCGGCCATGATGATCAAGCACATGTCGAATATCCCGAACGTGCCGGTGTTCATTCCGAGCAGCAACGTGACGACAATGGAGAATAAGAGCGACAAGCCCGCGCTACCCACGTCGACGTCCGCCGCCAACGTGCTGACGGTGTCGACGTCGCCGGCACCGGCGTCGTCCCACGCGGCCCAGAGATTGGCGCCCCTCAAGAAGCAGAGCCAATCGGTCGGCTACAAGACGCTGCGCGATCCGCCCAAGTCCTGGAATCCCACGTTGTCGAAGAACAACTACGTGGCGGCGAAGAACCAGGCGAAGGAGATGCAGAATCAAACGCAGACCTCCATGTCCGAGGGCGCGAACAAGCAGATCCCGTCCAAGCCGGCCAAGATCTTCAAGATGCGCAACATGCCGCGGTACCTGGGCAATCCCGCGTCGGGCGTGAAGCCCATGTACGGGGTGGCGAACGACAACACGAAGGAGAAGGAGCAGTCGTCGACCAACGCGAAGGGCGCGGCCACTCTCAGCATGATGAAAATCGATCCCAAGACCCTGTCGCCCATCGTCTCCGCGATCAACTCGCCGATCATATCGCCGCCGCCGTACTCGCCGAACGCGCGGAGCTACCAGAACACGCCGTTCTCGCGCGACATATGCCGTAACACCGGCTCGCCGATCTCGCCGAGGAACTCGCCGGTGAACATGCTGTCGACCAATCCGTTCATACCATCCCCGACGCCCAACACGAATCCGCGGATCATATACTCGCACTTCCCGTCACCGTTCCCGGACGCCAGCCGATTCCCGAATCCGCTGATACGCTCGCCCATCGGCATCCCGCCACCCAGTGCCTTCCACAGCAGTCTACCGCCCGCGATCAACAAGCTGTATCAGCGGTCGAGCTACATACCGCAGCAGACCACCGGCTACGCGCCCGTGGTCGGCCAGCCGCCGACGGTGCAGAGAATACCACCCAGCACGCACTCGGCCTCGCCCAAGTCGCCCAAGGCCCCGTCGCCGAGCTCGATCTCGTCGTCCACGTCGTTCGGCCTCGGGAAGACGGAGTCGCAGTCGCCGATAACGTCGTCAACGGCGAACAATGTCGCGCTACTTCTCTCCAAGAGCGTGGCCGTGACGGCACCGGTGTCGGTGCCGATACCGGTTCCGGTACCCGTGTCCGCATCCGTGTCCGTGTCGCTGCAACGAGAATTCAACGCGTTCAATCTGTCCAAGAGCGGCGGTCTGTCGCCAAGTCCGACTTCCAACGTCGCGAAAACGTCGTCCGCGACCTTGGACACGAGCGACGCCGACGTCGGGGCGCAGGTCGCAAAGCCGAACTCCTCCTCGTCGTCGCTCAACCGGGCGACGGCGGGCGCGGGTGAGCCAGCCGAGAATCCGAGCGTGCCGAGCGAGCGAAAACAGGGTAAGGAAACGGAGGCGGCGCGAAAGGCGCAAGAGACGGCGCGATGTAAGGAGGACAATTCGAAGGCGAAGCCCGCGGAGGCGAAATCCGGCGGCGAGGTCACCGACAACGCCGCGAGCCTGCACGCGAACGACAAGAAGGAGAAGAGCCAAGCGGCCAAAGTCAACGGTGACGTGACAACGGAACAATTGGCGAACAAGAAGTCCAAGGAGGCTAGCGGTAACGAGGTGACGTCGACGACAGCGGAGAAGACCGATCGGGACGGCCAGGTGGAACGGTCCTCGCCCAAAGAGCGGAATAGTATCCCAAAGGGTAACACGCTAGCCAATATCAGTGACTCGCCGGCGGACGATTCCAAGAGCGAGGATCACGGCAAGAGCGGTGAGCAGATACAGGGTAATAAATCTGAAGTACAAAAAAGTAAAGCGGAGACGTGATCTCGTGAGAACGAGAAGGGGATTAATCATCTTTAAAATGCGAGTCAGTGCGAGTCGCGAAAAAGGTCTTGCTACGCGCGTATCAGCATGCATTTAAATTCGACACGGCGTGGCTCGAGTGTGGAAGATGGAATCCTGCAGCGAGCCTTATACACAGCCCATGTTCTGACATTTACTGCCAGCTAATTCTAACGTTTCTATTCTAACGTTCGAGAATATGTATATGTACGTGTGTACGTATAATTGGATATTTGTAAAAACCGCGCTTCCGACATCCGCGCGCGTTTTACGTAAAAAATGTCAGAGGATAAGCTGATTAAGGCTGTGATGAGAGACAAGTTTATACAACATCGTGTAAGGAGCACTTATGACCATTGTTGAGGGTGTTTCATGGTGTGTTAGAAATTTGTACATTTCTGTAAATAGCAATCGCGAAAAAAGATCTAATTATTTTCTATTATAAATGAGTTATTATGAGACACTACGTTGAATATATTATTTTATATAGGTACGTTGATGGATATATGATTATGGTCGTCTGAATTTTCATACGCATATCTAACACCGGTGTTAACGTTGACGACGTTAACGATGTTAATCCTCCGTTGTTATTACACTCTCGCATACATGTACAGATAATATGTATACACGGCGTGTCCCACTTTTTATTGTATGCCTTTTTTTTCGAACGTATATTATTTATTTCAAGTGATTTCCAAATTTTCGATTTCTTATTTAACGAACGTTTATGATTCTTTGTTACTTGACTATTTCCCATTATCAATCTCTACAACAGTTCTAGATTTCTTATTAAATATCGCACACAATGATTAAATTGTTAAACATATTTATTAAACTATATATACAGGGTGTATCTTAAGTAGTCCATTAATTATAGTTATATGTATAGAGTTATTTCTCATAAAAAATAGTCTAAAAGTTCTGAACCATTTTTTTAATATAATGCTCAATGAAGCTGTAATTATTGTAGAAATTGTTCCATTGTGCATTATAGAAAAAAAATGATTCAGGATTCGATTTTTTTTTACAAAAAAAAAACGCTATATAATTAGTGGGCGCAATTTAAGATACCCTGTATACTTTTGTAAATGAATAAAAAAACGTATATAAAAATTATTTCTGTATGAAAAAAAGAAATGACGTATTTCGGCATGGCGGAAAAAAAAGTAATATGTTTCAAGTGGGAGACAGTCTCTATGTCATATTTTTCTTACTTCGTTACACATATATTATATATTGCAATATATAACGAAGCATATATATATATATTTTTCACGGATATGGATACAAGTTGTGCACTAAACACTTGGAAAACAGGTTTATCATTAAAGTTACATATTTATAAAAATCAACTATATGATTTGTATCTCTTAGTGCATACGCTTGCTGTTAATTTGTTAATAGCATAATATATAATGCATTATAATGTCTTAATAACATACAATATGCGTTCTTGTGCATATTAAATGGATGCAAAGTTATTCCTTAGCGCTAAGTAAATTAAAAGTGTCGCAATCACTTTTTTCGAGAAGTAATGTAATTATGGGAAAAAAAACATGTTTTACGAAACGTGTGAACACGTAGTTATTCAGTAGAAGAGAGTACACATACAATGAGCACATATAGATATGTGTGTATAAAAGAAGTATTAAGTATAGTTGAGCTAATTAAATTAATAATAATGTTACCTAAATTTAAATTATACATTTTTATATCGTATAAGGTTGATGAAAAAAAAAATTTATATAGTCCGCAGCGTTGAATATTTTTGAAAGACCCTTTATTTGTATTGAAAAGAATTGTATGGGATGGTATGCTGCGCAATGTTTCGCGAGAGACCATTTTATTTCCAATTTTAGTATTTTGGACTTACATTTCCGAGTGATCATTATTTTTTCGAGATATATTCTTTCGCAATTTGTATATTAATGTGTACATTTAATGTGCGGTATCGATCGATTTTGAAGTATTTAAAAATAAAATTTTTAATGTCTTGTACAATCGTGGGTCAAAATGCTATCTTGTTCTAATGTTAGAGAGATTGAATTGCATTTACACCGAGCTCTTTTCTCGCCGATGGTTCATGCCCGATCGTCTTATCAATGATTGGAGGAAAATTCACAACGAAACTCGTAAGGAGTAATTAGCTCGATGTAACTTTGCTCAGTATAGCTGAATCAGACAGCATTTTCGTTCTCCACTGTACATTTATTATAGTAATCTATTAAATTCAACAGTGATCTATTAAAGATAGTAATTTTGGAAAAATCAAAAATGGAATTCACGCTGTAAGATGATCACTCTTGCTATCGAAGTTTATATAAAATATTGTAAATTTGAATATTCATAATTATTGGAGCACACTTCATTTTATGTGACTGAATTGAAAATCTAACAGAAAGTTGGATCTCTTACTTTCAGACTAATTCGGCATCGAAGCGAAAATGATATAATTTCGAGGGTAATTTTGAAAATATTCGAAGACTGCTAATGGTAGAAAATGTCCGAGGCCTTATCCTGTCATATATCGAATAATTAATATGGAACAATAAAAAATGATAAATGTATGCGATATAATTACGACAAAAAAAAATTAGTTGACAATTAAACACTGTGATCATTACGTTACTTCATTCTAGATGGAGAAAATATTTTAACAAAGCAAAATTATTAGTCGTAAAAGCATAATATTTTTCTGTCATTCTGTCTTTCCTCTTCCCATTTGTCCTATCTCTCTCTCTCTTTCTGCATTTTATTTTTGCACTTTCCAAGCCTTCTCTATTGTTTTCTTTCTTAACTCTTCATTTTTAATAATTTATGCATTTTAGATTATCCGTTTATATGATCGTGCGAATTGGCGAAAGAGCAAAAATTAAGAGAGCATAACAAAGTGAACAATTTTTCTAAATAATTTTAATGGTTGGATATCAATTTATCTTACGAGATGTGCTAAATTTTATTTGTATATAGTGTACCATTATTACAAAATATATATTACATAGCAATAGTAAAGAATTATTAATTAATATAATTCTATATTTAATTAAAAGGGTATATAACTATATGTATTTTTTCGGCTAATAAAAACAAAATTTTAGGTAAATACCGGGCTGCAGAATAGAAGATGTGTACTGTATTTTTAATCAGTTTTTATATACGTACGTGTATATGTACACATATACATATACATGTATAAACGTATAAAAGTAACAGTAATGATTCTACATGGAATTCAAAGCTATTCTCTTCACGAATAATGCAAAAATATAATTGACTGCACTTACAGAAAAAACCGTATTGTTCATACATACACACATAGAACATTATCCTTCATATGTACAAATCACTATCAAAAGCAAAGATGACGAGAACGTATTTCCAAAACTGTACATTATAATCGCCCATAGACATTAGACCGTTCATATATTTGACATTTTTTCAATGTGTCTTATAGCATCCTTCAATTTGTACACCAACTCTTGTAGCTGTTGTATAGTACATGCAAATATCACATGCCTCACCTGATTGCATTCTTTTGTACTTATTCGTATGTTGTAAATCGGTACGTTGGTGAAACGCGTGCTAATCTGCATTAAAGAGAACGTAATATTTAATTTTTCTAGATTATATGATGTACATAATTTACGAGAAATTGTTTTTATATCGTTGGAATTACACATTGCATGAGGTAACGCAATCCAACGTAACGTTACCGGAAGGATAACTCACCTTCACGCAATGATGTAAACGCCAATCCGTATCCACTACGTGCGGCAGGCTACTTCCCGTCAGCTCCAGCTGAGTCTGGATGTTTTGTTTATTGTTCATATATGTACTGCATAGCGTTTCGATTCTTTGCCCATTGATGTGTTCATTGTGTAGAAAATGTTTCAAGCTCTCCTCATCGTAATCGTGTCGAGCAGCCTCTACGAAGAGGCAAGACACATTGGCAACGGCAGCCTTTATCAGATCTGACTTGGATGAATGAATAGTAGCGATACTTGCTGTAAAAAAAAAAAGATGTTAGTTAATTATAAATATTTGTATCTCGAAATATTCTTATATTTTAGAGAGAAAAATTAAGTGAGATCTGTTTACTTTTTCCATTGTTAATATTTTTAGTAATATATAACATTATGATGTCTAATAACTGCAGAAACGCCTCTTCGGGCAAAATGTTGCTATTCTGAATGCTTGCCAGGCCGTCGACGATTTCCTTTGCCAATTCCATCTCAACGTAATCAATACGCTTCTTGATATAAAAATTAAATGCAAATAATCTATCTTAAAAATAATGTCAACAAAAATAAGCTAGCTTGCGCACTTCAACAATTTTAACGATTTCAAGTCTTTGAAATCGTGAGCTGATCTCGATTGATTATCAGCACATTAATGACTTTTTAATTCCATTTTATAGATCTGCCTGAAAATATAGATAAGACAAAAAATTATTAATTAGTATTAATGTGTACTAAATAATTCTTTTTATAACTCTTAATATGTAGTTTACATGGATATTTCATACAATTATATACCTGATATTTGCAAATATTGATAAGAGATGTAAACAATTTTCTGTTCTCATTTTATACTATTGAGCTATTGTGACAGCTATTTATTTATACCGAAATGTTTAAACATTGTAACATCTCTCCCCTTTTCGAAAGGAGAGGGTTAAGTGTATCTTCAATCACTTGACAAAATTTCGTAGGTTAGCAGGAGAGACTATGGAGACATCGCTCGGAATAACTGTGAACTACAGATCTGTATTTTTGCTGTTGACAAGAAAAAAATTGCATTATATTTTATAACAACTTTCAGGATCGTATAGAATGATTAAAAAAAAAATCAAAACAAAAATTTGCTGAAATTGCACTACAGCTAGGTTGTAAGATTATATTATTATAAATTTTTAAGTCTCAAAGTGCAAATTGTGGCTGTATGCAAGTCTCACAAACATGAATGCAAAGCAATAAGCTAAAAAAATTTCGCAGGAAAATATTTTTTCGAAACAAAAAAAAAACATGCATTTAGGTCGCATGTTCTTTCTAAATTTAAAATATTGTCTGTGAAATAAATTTGTCTAATGATAAATATAATGTAATAGCCGTTAAAATTTGCAGAGAATATGAATGTATTTTACAAAAAGAGTAAAAAAAATGTTTATTCAATTAACAAATAACACAATATACTCTAAATAGACGAACACACAATGCTATGTAGACAACGCTTTATTAGAGTAGAAATCAAATTTCCAAAATTGATCTGGTACATCACTGCAGAGAGTCGCCTGCACGTTTTCGTCGTTATGTAGTTTAGTACCATCGAGACAGAGACCAGTTTCTACGTGTCTAATTCTTCCCTCCTACATGGATAAAAATACATTTCTCAATCACTCATGAATCGAACAAGTGCGTTTATAGTTGATATTAAAAAGAATTAGTACAGCACCTTCGTTAGCACCCATTTCTTTTCATCCTTCTCAATATTGCAGTCAGACATCTGAACTTGTGCGTACGGCTTCGAATCGATATCCAATATTCTGCCACAGGTCTCTTCTCTCCGTAATTCGCCGGACTTGCTCAACGAGAAGAACTAAATTGTCCGAATATAACGAATCTTTAAGTTTGAACCCGAACATGAATATTGCTAACACGTTAATCTGTATCTGACGTACCTGACTTGGATACAGCTTGGCGTGGCAATTATATAAACCTAAATTATACGGTTTGTCCTCCTCGTGCTGCAAGTTGTCTAAGCACAGTCGTCTCTTGCGCAATCTGACACGGCCGTAAGCTATTGCATTTTCATCCGGGATGAATTTTTCCGGGTAAACGTTATCGAGGTACCACTTGAAACTCTTACATTTGAGCCTCCTCCGCAATTCCAAACGCTCGCTTATGTCGCCAACGACTTTCGGGTTGTCCTACGAGATTTTATTTGGTTTTATGTATAAAGAGCTTATGCCAGGATTTTAATCATGCAATGTCCGACCTCCTTACCTTGAACTCATTGCGATGAAGTAAAAACAATCGTTTGTATTCGTCCATCCATACAAATGCTAAACGAGCGGTGTTTATTCCGTGAGTATCTTTGTCGTTTGGAAATTTGTATGGATGGAAGTTTCGAAAGATATGGCCGACCCGAGAGCAAGGAATGATTTCTAGTGTACCGCCGCATTGCCAAATCTGTTGAATCAATTAATCGAGAACATATATAAAGTCTCATTAGATCGAATACAAAATGTAAAAGCACACACATGTGTGTGCTTGTAATTATAACAACAACACTAATAAATGTACTTGGAAAAATTTTACTCACTCTGAAAGACATCTCCAAGTTTTCGCCGCCCCAACCATCCATCTTGTCATCGTAACTACCGATCTCCCAAAAGTATTCTCTGTTGATAGCGTATAGACCGCCTGCCATGGTAGGAGATCTAGTCGGTGATATAGGAGACAAACGCGATTCGACCTCGTGCTTCTGAATATTTATCCACGTGAAATGTCCCGACCACGTGAAACCACCGACTTGAAAGAAAAACGCTTCGTTATCGTGGAAATATTCTAACGTCTCCTCAGAAATGTTATCAATTATTGGCATTAGCACAGCATTCTTATTATCCTTTATTCGTTGCAGCAGAGGTTCTAACCTGCGTTACGTTAAAATATATTAATTAATTAATCAATGAAATTCTCTCTGTGTGCTTATATGTAAAGTTACTTTAATATTTAAGATATGAAAAATCAGATATATAGAAGAAAAATAAATGCCTTCTAATTAAATCTAGTTGATATATCATAATTAATTGATAATATAATTGATTTTAAAAAAATACCAGTTTTTAATAACTTCGCAGTGTGCATCCAGGAAGACAAGAACGTCGCCCATAGCATTTTTAGCCCCGTGAAGACGAGCACGTATCAATCCTTGTCTGTGTGGTAACCTCAGTAGCTTTACTTTCGCGGGCAAACGCGTCGAAAGATAATAATCCAATTGTCCCTGAAGTTCTTCTGCAAATAAAAAAATAAATTTTACATGTAACTTCAATAATTTAACATACTGCATTCTCTGCCAATAATATTAAATGGTTATATTATTCTTATTTTATATTCTTATAATTATTTTATAATTAGACATTTCACAGATATTATTGTTAGACCTAAATCTGTAGCGATCGTGGCGCAGAGAGTTGTGCGTCTGCTCTCGGCGTCAAAAACCCGAATTCAAATCCGAACTAGAAACAGCGGATTTTTATTCGATCGCTACCTCTCGGAAGGAGAAGCGGTAATCCACCGAGAGTATATCTTGCCATGAAAACCCCTCTAAATTAGACCGTTCGGAACCAAAGTTAAAACTTGTAGGTCCCAAATACCTGTGTAAATAGCGCACACCAGAGAAATACGATGAAGAGGGGTTCATCACGCTTCTGGCAAGAGGCAAAGGATCAAGATGAAATGCATGTGTGCACTTAATGCATACACAAAAGACCAGGCGACAACAAAGCTACTGCCACAATGCCCGCCACATAAAATACAACATCGAAAGTAACAAATAAATTAAGCACGAGTATAAAATATAAATTATTATAACAATTCGAGAATGAAGCAAAGATCAAAATTGTGGATTCCCTTACAATTGTATATGTATATAAAGCGCCTAACTTTAAACGCAAAAAATACAAAAGAGTGTGTAACGCAAAGAAGTACAAATGAGAGAGTAATGCTGTATAAACACATTAGATGATTTAGGGGATACGTTTGTACTAACTTTTCTAGTTTCTTCATTGATAGATGAATTAGAAAATTTAGTACAACCGTATCTCCTAAATCATTTAATGTGTTTCTACAGAATTACTCTCTCATTTGTACTTTGCGTTACATACTCTGTTGTATTTTTTGCGTTTAAAGTTAGGCGCTTTATAATCACATACAATTGCGAGGGAATCCACAATTTTGACCTTTGCTTCATTCTCAAATTATTATAATTTATATTTACTAATTTGTATTTTATACTCATACTTAATTTATTTGTAACTTTTAATGTTGTATTTTATCTGGCGGGCATTGTAGCAGTAGTTTTGCTGTCGCCTGGCCTTTTGTGCATGCATTAAGTGCACAATAAATAAATAAATATATATATATATATATGTATATTAATACACAATTTATGTCGCAAACACACATGTTGAGAAATGCGCCAGTATGTAATTTATGTAATTGTTAATTATATTAATATTAACAAATAATAAGGAGGAAAATCATAAATATTAATTATATTAATATCAATTTCGATACCTTCTTCACTATGATCGTCCACTAAAATAATTTCTTTTAACAAATTTGGCGGGGAACCCTTCAAGACACTGTGTACCGTGCGTAACAGGACACTCCATGGTTCGTTATAAAAAATAATTATTATACTAGCACTTGGTAATAATCTGTCATATGTGAGATTCGCGCATCTGAAAAGTAAAAGATTCGTATTTAGAAATACAAAAGACAAAGAATATTCTACATATCTACATGTATTATATAATCTAAAAATGACGTGACTTCTCAAACGCTGTATACTATACATATTAAAATCTTACAGCGGGTTGCGTACATCTGGTAATTTTCTGGTTAACGATATCTTATTCGAGAGGACGACATTCAACGCTTTTTTCGCAAGCGCTGCTTCACCTAGAATCTTCTCTTTTCCATACAGGTAAGCGGGTTCTCCGTCGTCCCCAAGACCAGGTACAACACCACGTTCCAACTTTGATATCCGCTGCTCGTACCTAAATTATCATCTTTAGTTTAATATCGCATTAGACAAAATGTCATTAGTTTAATGATTTGATTAGTAGTATCTCAAAGCCCAACATATTATTATTTAATAAAAAAGATAACTATATATATATATATATATATATATATATATATATTTATTTATTTATGGATAAGTAAATTGCGATTGAGAAGCGGTCAAAAGTAGCGTCAAGCAAACATTTACCTCTCCATCTGTAATCTCTGTAGCGCGACGTCCACATCTTTCCGTCTCTGCGAGCTATTGCCGTGCCTCGACAGGAGCTGCGTGAGCTGCTCTTTATAGAGCCTGGAACTGTCGCTGCCGCGAAATATTTGCTTGGCGATGATCAGAATGCCGATTATGTACAGTGTGCAGAAGGACAGTTTCAGCAGGGACTTGCGGCGGGTGAGCAACATCTTTTTCAGGAGTGTACCATCCTGACGGGCGGAACCGGTCAAACGATCGGCATGCCGAGTTGTTATTGTTGTTGTAGTTATCGCTGATGACGAGCAGCTGCCCAGTTATATACGCTATAGGTTATGATTATGAGAGCATGCACTTGTCGGACGTGTGTGTGGCGTATCCGGCCGTCATATATCTCGCTCATATCACGTGCACATCTGCAACAGGTGATTTTGACGTTTCAGCGTGAGAACATCGTTGCGGAAGCGACCCACTTCGCGCGCACACCTGGGGAAAATATCGTAACTTGATTTCGGTGGAAAATGCCTGCATATGTCGCGATATCAGATGTCGGACGTGTGCCGCGGATATACGCTCGCACGCTCGCTTACGAACGTAGGGAAAAAAAAAAGGAACGAAAGAGAGGAAAAGGCTAAATTTAAGTGCGTGTCGGTGTCCGTAAGGAAACTGCTCTAACCGGTTGTACGTACATTTAACGTATGCGTATCTATCTATCGCTCTCCTCTCCTTCTTTCATAAAGTTTGCAGAATGAGCGTACGAGCGGGTGATATCAACACAACAGATAGCCAAATCTGTTGAAAATAAATAAATTTTGCAAAGTGACCGCTGCCAGTTTTTTTTTGTCAGTAGAACACAAGCCAAAACAAAATCTGCTTTGAAAATATATGTATGGTGGTTAATTTAGTTTAGCCCTTCCTCTCCTTCAGTTTTGATGAAATCAGACTTATATATAATGGCAGATTCAACACACAGCACAACACACATTGTGGAGATCAAGCAGAATCTGCCACTTCGTAACCGTTTGATAATGTATTCCCTATATAAATGACGGTTACGTAATGACGGTTTCTGTTGACAGTCTCTTGTTAGATTATAGAAACAGATTCTATTCTGCTGACGAACTGCTAGCATGCTACTAACACTTTGCTTACTGAGAATCTAGCAATAAAATTTCCTGGTTCTTTACGTTGTAAGGAAAAATCGTGTAAAAAATTCATACGTATAATTAACACTTTTTGTCAGATGAAAGAGCTTTTAGAACACACGCGCACATACATGTGTATTATACGTGTAAGTTGAATTTCCATGCGACGGTAAACGCATTAGAGTAAAAACATTGTAACTATGTAGAGTGTCTCAAAACCACTAAAGTCTTTTTAATGACAGACTGTGTAACTAAAGTTGTGTTTTTCTTGGCTAAAATGTTAAGGGAGAGATCATTAATTTATTGCAACTTTCCAATCTTTTGTGTTACATATTTTTGCAATTAAGCTTAAAATTTGAATTAAATTCTACTCGGAATCAATTTAAAAAAATGCAGTTTTATTCACTGGGTCTTCAAATTTAATTTGCAAAAGATCCTTTTTTTAATAATTCGAAAATTATTGATGTCTCAATATTTTCAAGGAAAAATCGATATTAGTTTGGCCAAAAAATTTCAAAATGATAACTGCGCGGCGATCAGATGAGGACATCTCTATAAATAAATTACGATACTTATCTACGTACACAAGGAAGAGCAATTACAACACTTTAAATACCAAAGTATTCTACTAGTTACATTTTTTTACAATATTTATTATAAAGATTGTTATCGAGACATTGGAATGTCCCCTGTACATAATATTAACAGTCCCATCTCCCCTAACAGTTCCCCTCTGCAAATACTACTACTATACAGCATGCAAAATACGCACATAAATAAAAACCAAAGTGAAAGCGGCAAAATCAAGGATCTCGGGAGTTAGCATCGCGCATTTTTTTCTCTCCCGCGGAAGAGAAGAATTTCTCGATATCGGAGAACGACTTGCCCAGGGTTTCGGGCAGGAAGAAGTACACGAAAGCCGTGCCGGTCAGAGACATGAAGCTGAAAGAGAAAAAAATGCCCTCGATGCTCATGCTTCTCAAGATGTACGGGTAGCTCTTTATGACGGCAAACATCATTACGTAAGCGAAAGAAACCATGAGGCCCCCACCGACACCGCGTATGGACACCGGTAGCAATTCTCCGATCAGCGTCCACGGTATGACCACGAAGCCGAACGAGCTGGTGCAGATGTACGACAGCACGAAGAACAGCAGAAGCCACTTTTGATTCGCCACGGTTTCCTCGGCGTTGCCGTTCTCGTCGTACAGCACCGCGAAATGCATGTACATCCCAGAGAGAAACATGGAGATGGCCATGCCGATTCCGCTCAGGATGCAAAGGACCCGTCTACCGTGTTTTCTACTGCAGAAAACCGTTATCACACTTATGACGAAGCGAATGACGCCCAGCATGACAAGCGCGCCGTGTTCGTTAAAAGTGCCAAACGTCCCGCCCATCTCGTGAAAAACGGAAATAGCGTAGAATATGATCACGTAAGAACCGGACAGCTGTTGCAGCAGGAACAGCGTGAAGAGTATCAGCATAGGCTTATAGGCATGCGGGGCTGTGAACAAGTGGTAATAATTCTTTACAGACGCTACGATATTTTTTGATCTGTCACTCGCTTCATGGTTCCCGCAGGTCTCCATGATTCGCGAATATTCCTCCTCACGAATCTAGAAAACCAATTGATCCGTTCTGAAAATATGTTCACCGAAGTAGAAAAAAAATCGCAAAGATCTCGCTGCTGATCGTACTCACGGTTTCCCTTCTGTTAAGTCGCTTCAAACTGTGTCTCATCCTGGAAATTCGTTTCTCGTCGAGCGCGCCGTTTTGAAAACACACGAGCCAGTACGGGCTCTCAGGTACGAAGTAAAGCGTGAAGAAAATGCAACATTCTAACGCAAGGAAAATCATGGTCATCTTCCGCCAGTCCAGCGCCACGGCCAGACAGCAGGTGATTAGTATACCCAACGACACGAACACGGAGTTAAGGCACAGAAGCATCGGCCGGACCTGCGGATGCGTGAGCTCCGATATGTAGACCAGACCGACGGTCGTTAAGCCCGCCGCGATTCCGGCTACGACTCGCGCCGCGTAAATGGCAATCACGGATTTGGCCAGCATCAGTGCGAGCCACGATATCGCCGCGGGGATACACGATACTAAACAAACGACTTTGCGTCCGAATTTATCCATTAGAGGCCCAGCGATTAGGGATCCTATTGGCAACGTTATTGTAACTAGGCTCGCTGTAGAACAAAACAGAGGTAAAGTAAAATACATAAACATGTTACTGCAACTCAAATTTTCTACCTACTACCAAATAAAACCACATAGCAAATTATATGATTAGCATACGTCTACTTTTCTACCAAATAATCTAAGATATATTTCTCAAGCACAAATTAATATAAAATTTTTATTAAAAAAAAGACTACATAGCACTACGCGAATAGCACATTTTACTTTTCTATTGAATAAAAGTCTACCATCTATTCCTTACGCAAAATGTAAAATCATATAAGACTCACCTATCCAAGACCCTTCGCTCTCGGTAATTTTTACATCAGTATTATTTGATTCTAGCCCATCTAATAAAATGGTACTGTATACCATGTTTACACCGGCCTTTATAGCTATACAATGAACGATACAGCTTGCAATAATCTAAAAGACGACACATAATATATTTATTTTAGTCAACATATTAGTCTTGTATCGCATTTATAGCAATTATAAATTTGTCTGTACGCGCGTGTGTGTGTATGTGTATGTGTGTGAGAATATTGAAAACTTGCCTGTGGCATTACATCTGCCATTTTAATTCTCTCCTTCGAGCTTCTATTGGTAATCCGTGGAAGAAAGTTACTGTAAAAAAAATTAGAACTTCCTGTATATCTTTCAATCTTAAAATCAAAATTATTCTTACAGATAATTTTTAGATTGTATATAAAAATATATATATATATAAATATTATATATATTTATATATATTTTTTTAATATAATAAAAAAATATTAATATGTGTACTTATATTGCACAACTCTCCCTTTACTTTACCTGACAATTTCATTGCGAAGTTTCCCATCGTGTACTGTGTCTGTCTGTGTCTTTCCTTCGACAATTTCTTCTATTTTACTCATTTCAACCAGTAGCAATATCAAAACTAGCTAAGATATTTCTGAAATAAAAGCAGGCAGTAAAATGACAAACATGATATGTATATACTCACTCGTAGTTTACCAAAAGAGTTTAGAATTTTCAAAGCGATAAAAATGTAAATATAAAATGACATTGTGAGAATATTTAAAAAATAATTATAATATTAGAATATACTAAAATAATGATTAAAATCATTATTAAAACACACTGTTAAATTAATGACCTGATATTTGAGATTCTCTTCAGAAATTTCATTAATATACATCGCAAAATGCAACAGACAATAACTTGCATACTAATAAAATAATTATACAAGCGTATATATTTGCATAGGATATGCATTAGCTATACGAAATATATACTTTAGCCGTCGTTAACGAAAAAAAATAAACTTGGAATACCAATTTTGACTTTGATGCTGTCTATGACATAAGAAACTTACGCTTATCTATGATGACGTTTATCATCGAAAATGGAAAAGTACAAAAAAATTTTTTTCATAAATGTAACATATTCATTCCTGTTTACATTGCACGTCGACTCGGGCCGATATTTCGTGTACGAACGATTTCCTTCGTTCCACTTCTTCCCCAAACAATTCTGCAGAGCCGAAAAACTTTCCCTCATTCACTATTCACAGTTGTCATGCGATCATGTGACCATATTAAGCCGTAATAGAAGCCAATAAATCACAAATCCACACACTTCCACCAAACAAACTGTACGAACTAAAGCAGCATCAAAGAGAAAAAATCCGAGAGCGGTTACATCGGCGTTTTTCGTGGAATCATTCCTGCGCCACGCTAACGCCAGCTGAAAAGGCGCGTGTGAATTACGTAGCCAGATTTACCTCTCACCAGCCGATCTGATCACTTTTGTTTGTTGCCCACAGGACAGATGCGTTGATAATAACTATATTGTATAGAAAAAAAATTGACATTAATTTAGTAAAATAAAGTACATGGTATTATTGCGTCGCAAATATTCTTACTTGTGGAACATATCTCTGAGTCATGAATTTACTGCGTCAAGAGCTATAATTGTTCAGGCATTTATACGTTATAATTGTTATATGCACGATAGAGCGATTGAGAAATATATCGATAGGCGATAATATACTTAAATAGTCCGGCTGGTAATATCGAGCTCTCTTTTTAATCGCTAGATACGCATGCGCGAAATTCGTCTCTTTAATTCGTACAGTACACATTCCACGTACATGACATATCGGTGCATAATACTGTCAAGAGGGGACGACTGAGGACGATTATATTTATTCCCAGATAAGAGAAAGATACATATCCTATTTCAGTTATAAATATGACACGTGATCTCGAATACGAATTAAGATTCGTATGAAAGTACAAACGATACAAAATAAATATATACGTATACACACGATCTCACGGGTATACACTAGGGAAAAATATCGTCAGTGTTTAGTTCTGAGAGCGCATAAACATGTTTAACGAGACGAGGGAACGAGCGAATTATTTTTACGTTTGTCTACATTTTGCATAATAATAATAATAAACGGAATTGAGATCTCAGTATTTGTTGAGGAGTAAGGAGGGGTCCCCCACTGATCAATATGAATTAAGTGATGGCACCTGCAGCGAAGGACAGATGGATCAGACGTTTTATAATTACCGAAACGAAGCGGCACAAGAAGGGCTTCACGATCTACAAAGTTACTTCTATGGTATACATTTGAGAATATTGTATTTCCCTTTCAAATCCCGATAAGCTAAATTTTGCTGTTTTTTTCTTCTAGATATTTCTGAAATCCTCCCACGAGGAGGTGTCGAAGGTGTCGGTGTGGAAGCGCTACAATGACTTCAAGAAGCTTCACGCCGAGCTCGGTCACTTGCACAAGCGTTACGGGACGAAGGAGAGCTTCCCGGCTTTCCCCAAGTCGAAGTACTTCGGCAGATTCGAGGCCGAGGTTGTGGAGGAGAGGAAGAGATGCGCGCTCAAGTTTTTGGAATTCGTCGGACGGTACTCGTACTTGTACACGAGCGATATCTTCGTAACGTTCTTCGACACCAGTCACGCGGACAGTTGCGGCAACGATTGCGCGCATTCCCTGAGCTCCGACACGTCCGAGGACGATCGCGTTGCCGCCCTGAGCGACGCCGCGCACGTCGTGAATGACAACGCGGTGCCCGCGAGCGCCTGCCGAGCGCCTGTTCAAGTCCCGTTGAAGGCGGGATCGCAAAGTGCACTGACGAATTCGCGCTCCACGTTGTCGGGCGTCATTTGCGCGAACAAGAATGAACTCGCGGCACATCGGAGGAAGAATGAATCTCACGGCGATATCGATTTGCCGAATGCCAACGTCAGCAGGGAGGAGCAGAGCTACAAAACGGCCAAGTTGCACACGCGGGGTAACGTCGCCAAACATCACGATGCGCATCAGAACAAGAGTTCCGACAGGCACGACGTGACGGCACTCGGCGACGTGTCGGGTTTCGACAGTCTGAACAACAATGTCAGTAAGCCCCTTTCGAATTACGACATTCCGCATCCCAACGCGTATTCGGCGATATTGCGCGAGGAGGTGAACGTTCGCCAGGCACGGCCGGACATCACGCAGTACCTCTTGATAGCGGCCGCTCACATAAGCGCGGCCTTCAAGCACGAATCCATAGCGGAGTACGAGGAAGCTTTCACGCAGTACAAACTGGGAATATCGTGCCTGATAAACGGCGTGCAGTTCGACCCGGACGGCACGAGAGTGCCGGGCATAAAGGACAAGATATCGAAGTACTTAGCACGGGCCGAGCAATTGTACAACGAGCACCTGAATTGCAACGTCTCGAAAGTGAGCAAACCGGTGTCGGAGCTTCAACACTATAAAGTGCTTAAGATAATGAAATCCGTGATGCTCGTAACGGACATGCGTGCGAATTGTAACAGAATAATCAAGGTAATTTGACTATACTATGCTTCTTACGAATTTTACTTTTTTATTATAAATAAAAAGGTATTATATTATTGGTCGAGGCGTTCCACATTGAAATAGTCTTCGAAGCAGAATTGTTGTACGATAAATTATCCAGTTTTATTACTTTTGAGTGAATCGCGAGCCACATCACAGCTTCCGTTTAACGTAGATACACAAATATTATATATTAATTATATATTAATATTAATATATATTTTGCGATCTTGTTAGAATTTTATAAATTAGGAGGATTTATTATTAGTTAGGATTATTATAAATAAAAGGCGTTAATACATTTGCGATAATAAAAATAATTAAATAAAAAGATAAAAGTAAAATAATGTAGATTAAGATATTTTTAATTTATTAGTGTAATTCATAATTTCAGACTGTGGAGAAATCCTGTATTTACGAGGACAGTATAAGCAATTATGTGTTGCACAAACAGGTACCTTACATGGTGCATTTATACGCGTGTATTGAAACTGAGACTAGTGTATTTTTAGTCCTGCAATACGCAAGGTACAGTACGATAAATTTACTCGTAATATCTTGTCCAGTATCAATTTACTTTTATGTACTTTACTCATTGTGTTACAGCTGTGGAAGACTGTGGGACTTCGTGGACCTGCATTACGGAGTATCTGACATTCCGTGCAACGTAATTCCAAATCGCACATGTACAAATGGAGATATCAACGGGGAGGTCAATTGCAATGAAAATCTTCGTGGACCAAATAAAGCGGATAGAATTATGGAAAACAAATTACGGGGGAATAGTCAAAGCGCGACGGACGTTCGAAGTGAGATCCATATGGAAATGCCTACAACGCAATTATTAGAAAAGTCGCAGGAATTGTTACAATCCGTTAATGCAACGTTGAGAAGAAGCAATTCCATCGTGAATCGATTAAACGAGTACAAAGAATTGAGACATTCGGATGGTGTACCGTCGCCGAATGCGAAGACTGTCACGCAGATCTCGGAAGGGTCAGATCTTGTGTTATCTAATGCTTATCGCAACAAATCACTAGATTCTAAGAAGATAGTCGGCATTGTAGTAGAGAATTCTTCGACAAAAGGTTTAAAGAATAAAGATCTGAAAGTCAGTGATTCTTCATTGACGAACAATAACGAAAATGTGTCGAGAAATATTTGTGCAGCCACATTAAACGGAAGTTGTATGGCTCGCGATTCGCTCAAAAATAATAAAGTGGATAATTTATCGTGTAACAACTCTACTTCGAAGACTACTTCAATGCGAAACGCCTCGACCAATAATATAGTGCACATCTGTGAAAATAATAATACCGAAAGTATATCCAATCAGATAAATTCAAACGTTAATTGTAACATTGACGAAACACAATATCTGTATCAAGAGAACAATATAGAATATATAGACGAAGAACAGACATTTTGGCAAGTACCGGAATCTGTAATTCGATCGTGGGCAGCTGAGATGCTTTTGGCTTTGGAGGCACTTCATCAGCAGAATATCCTGATTCTCGACTTCAAACCCGACAATATTCTCCTCGATGACGCGGGACATATCCGGCTTACTTATATCATACCGCAGCACAATGTTGAATTATCTAAACTAACATATCCGTATTCGTCACCCGAGTTGGTAACGTTCTCTCCGACCGTTCTCGTCACATCCGCTACGGACGTCTGGAGTTTCGGAGTTATTTTGTACGAGCTACTCACCGGCACTGTACGTGTGTAGAACTGTGGATATTAATTCTAAAAGAAATTATATATATCTAGTAAAGTTTAACTTTTATTTCTCGCAGATGTTTATCAGGAATCATCCAGGATCATTTCATTCACATTCCGCAATTAACATTCCTAGCAGATTATCGGAAAGTGCAAGGTCTTTGTTATATGGCGTAAGTTTATTAAATTAGCTTTCCAAATGCTTTTAAAGCTATTTTTGTTAAAATAGCTTTAAAAGCATTTGTTATTATATAATGGAGATAAAAATTGATTCTCTGGAGACGCACAAAAATGTATGTCAGTATAAAAAAAAAGATAATTTTACTTAAATTATACATAATAATGTCATAATAATGTCAAAACAGTTGTTTTATTTTAAAATTTGTGTTAGTCTGCCGCAGTTTTTTTAAATTAATCTCACGATTTAACTTTTTAATGTCCAACTTTAGATCTCTATGTTATTTGATAAAAATCTTATCAATATTTGATATGCATTCGCGCATACACATAATTATAAAAAAATAATAATGTTATCTATAAAATTATTGTTGCAGATCCTGAAATATTATCCAGAGGAACGACTGACGATAGATGAGATAAAGCGGCATCCATTTTTCGCAGGACTCGATTGGTTAATCAATTCTCAAACTTATTAATATTTACGTTATTAAGGAATTCATAGATTTTTATTTTTGTTAAAATAGCTTTAAAAGCATTTATTATATAATGGAGGTATAAATAGATTTTCTGGAGACGCACAAAAATGTATGTCAGTATTATAAAAAAAAGGTCATTTTACTTAAATTATATATAATAATGTCAAAACAGTTATTTTATCTTAAAATTTGTTACATAAATTATTTAGATTTTGCTTTTTCTATATTCAGAAGAACGACTGACGGTAGATGAGATAGAGCGGCATCCATTTTTCGTAGAAATCAATTGATTGAATATCATCAATTCTCAAACTTATTAATATTTACGTTATTAAGGAATTCATAGATTTTTATTTTTGTTAAAATAGCGTTTAAAAGCATTTATTATTATATAGTGGAGATACAAATTGATTCTCTGGAGACGCGCAAAAATGTATGTCAGTATTAAAAAAAAAACTGGTAATTTTACTTAAATTATACATAATAATGTCAAAACAGTTATCTTAAAATTTGTTGCATAAATTATTTAGATCTCGCTTTTTCACTTCTACTTATTGTCGACATACCGTCAACGAATCTAGTCGTGAATAAAACATTGGCATTGTTGAACATACCGTTCTTTAAGGACACAACAATAAATTGCGAATGTTTGAAATGTCTCTTTAACATTGTACCTATATTTTCTGTATGCGAAAGATCCAGGGCAGCGTCTACTTCGTCCAGAATATAAAGCGGCGCGGGTTTATAGAGGAGCATAGCTAAGACTAATGACAAAGCAACTAGGGACCTTTGCCCACCGGATAATTCTCCTAACGACTCCTTCCAGACACCCGAGAATCCAACTTTCACCTCTAAACCGTCTGTTATTGTTTCGTTCTCCGGCGGTCGCAGCTTGGCCTCGGCTCCCGGTAATAAAGTGCTAAATATAGACCCGAAATCCTTGTTCACCTGATGAAATACAAAATTGATATACTTCGGACATTGTGAACTTATATATCGCAATTACAATACTCTTGTCTAATCTAAGTCATAAATAAGTTTGTTTGTAATGTATTTAGATTGAAACAATACTGTCCAATATATAAAACATATAAAAATAAATGTATAAAGAAATGTTTAAAAAATTAGTAATTTTTTAATATATGATTTGTGGTGCAAAGAAATTATACCTGCTTCCAAGCTTTCAGCAAGGTTTGCTTCTTCTTTTCATCCAAGTGCCTGATCGTCTCCAGAATTTTATTCTTATCGTTCTCGACTATCCTCTTCTTTTTTAATGTGTCATTATATTGCTCTTCCTCTTTGTCGAGAAGGCTGATTGACCGCGTATTTATATTACGACTCATCTTTTCGTGCATTTCTTTTAATCGATGTACTTTTTGTTCCATCTCTTCTGGCTTATGAACTTCAAAATCGTATATACCACCTAAAAATATACGACACATATGATATATATCATCTAATTAAGTAATATTTTTCTCTGTAAATACCTTTCTTTCCGAAGTAAGGTTTCTCTTGCTCAATCCACTCGTACTTTCTTGTGAGCTCCAAAACTTTTTGCTTACAATCCGCTGCATACTTTTTGATATCATTAATTTCGTGATTCAATTTTTTGATGTCCAATTCCAGATCTTTATTTTGCTTAATAATATCCTCTTTCTTTGCTATCAACCTTTGTATGTCTTTGTTTTGCTGATTAATCATGTCCTTTTGCTTTTTAACACTATTATGCAATTCCGTAACTTTTTCTTTAGTCTCTTCCAATTGTTGCCGAAGAGTTTCACCCTTTTCTTCATACATATTGGTTTTCTCATTCACTTGAAGCAATTGTTCATTACCGCTTTCAATACTTTTCTTCAATTCCTTTATTTCCAATTCAAGCGTCTCCGACTCTTGTTCCCTCTTCTGCCATTCTTTGCGACTCTGTTCCGCTTTTTTCTTTAAGACATTCAATTGATTCTCGGCTTCCTTCAGATGTCTCTCACGAATATTCACTGCATCTTTTAACTGAATTTCTATGTCTTTCGCACGTTTTGTACTTTCCTTTTCCAAAGTCTTCGCTGCAGCCATCCGTTGTGTGAGCTCTTCGATACCTGCATTGAGAGCATCCACCTGAAGATAAATATATACACATATGTACATTGTGTACAAAAAAAGAAAAAATAAGTTTACAGCTAGGCATTTATAGTTTACCTATACAAGCAAAAATTTCTTATTTTCTAAATTTACGTTTAAATATAATTATATATATATATATATATAATTATATATGTTTACAGATTACATGTAAATGTGTACCTCTTCCTTGATTTTATGGTAAGTTGTTTGTTGCAACTTCTGTCGTATCATACTAATTTCGTAAGTCAATATATCATACTTTTGTTTCAATGTTGCATGTTTTTCGGCAGTTTTTACAATATTTGACATTTCACTCTCTACGTCCTTTAAAAGTTGTTCTTTGCGATTCAGTTCGTTCCTAATTTCCTTCAATTCTTCCAGTTTTAATAGAAGTGATCCAGCCTTCGCTGGAGCACCGCCAGATAACGTGCCGACCGGATCGAAAAGATCGCCCTCCAAGGTAACGCACTTCTTCATAATCTTCTCGTGGAAAGCTATTTTCTTGGCAGTCTCCATATCCTTGCACACAAATATTTGACCGAATATCCAGGTCATCGCTGGCGTAATTTCATTTGGAAAATCAATGAGAGACAAAGCTGGCTGAACGTTCTCCTTCCCAACCAATCTCTCCGCCAGATTGATCGTCTGCTGATCCATTGTTCTACCGGTCATTCGATTGAGCGGGATAATCGTAACTCGTTGCTGCAATTGCCCGTGTTGGAGAAGCTTTTTACTTGTGGTTTCGGTGTCAACTATTACATTGTAAAGCTGAAACATAATTACATTCGTGAAATAAAGGAGATTCTCTTCAAAAGTTAAGGCTGGATCTACTAATGTGTTCTTTGCATTTTGCTTTTTACCACTTTTTATCACTCTTGCCTCTTTGCCTCTTATCCTGATCCTTCATTTTCGCCCGGGATACTTAAATGTTGACAAACTTCGGAAGAGACAGGAAACACATGACAAAAAACACGATTGTCGATAAAATGATCGCAAAGGGGGAAAAAGGCAAGAGGTAAAAAGCAGGAAGCAAAGAGCACATTGTAGATCCAGCCTTGGGGAAAAATCTTACAAAGTGGTGGAAAACGTTATACCTTGCCGCCTGCAGCAACCTCCAAGGCGTACGCAGCTCTCTTATCCTTCACGTTAATCAATTTGCACACGATACCTTTTACGGATTTTGCATTGAAATTAGGCTCGGGATTCTGATACTGGAACCTCGTTCGAGGATTCCTCGACTCAAACTGATCCAGCGTGTCACGCAGTGGCTTCATTTCCGCAATCAGGTTACTCCTCCGGGTTTTCAAATCTTCCGCATAGCCGTCCTTGTAATCCAACTTTTGCAATTCGTTCTCCAAACTCTTCAATTCTTTCTCTTTCTTCTCCAAGTCCACGTTATACGTTTTACATTCATTCCCGCTATTGTACATATCCTTCTGTTTTTTACTCAACTGCTGCCTGTTGTGACTCAGCGTCATCTCGCACTGTTTAAGCTCGGTCTGTGCCTGCGTCGCGCTCTGCTTGGCACTTATCAGCTGCTGCTCCAACGTTGCGTTCTCACCGTCCTCGCTCTCCAACAGGCCCGCGCTGATCTTCTGGTATTTCTCTTGTGCCTCCAATACCGCGTCAGTGTCCTTCTGACACCTCTCCTTCAAGTTCTGGAAAAGTCCACCCACTTTCTCCAATTCCTTCTCCTTCAGGACGAGCGCATTTTGATCGTCCTTTATATTAGCCTCTATATGCTTCGTTGTTTTCTTCACAGCTTTAACATCTTCCTTGTTACTGTTCACCTCGGCGGATAATTTGCACTGCTTCTTCTCATTTTCCTGCAGCTCCTTCTCTAAGGTTTCCAATATGCTACCTTTTTCCTGTTAAAAGATTACTTGATAATACATGTTCTTTATACTATGAATTTAACATTATGCTAATTTAAAATTACTATTGAAGATTATTATTATTACATTATATTTTATAACAAAAATGTTACAAAAATACATTTAAAAAATATATTAAGAATTTAATACAACTAATATGATGTATAATGACGACAAGTGCAAGACATATCCTTTTAATCTTCCGAGACATTATGTGAATATATTTTGCAGATAAAGAAATAAAAAAAAAAAGAAATCATACCGCTTCCTTTTTCTTTATTAGTTCATTACATTTTGCCTCTAAACTCTTGATTTCTTCTTCACCAGCAGCTATGTTCTCCGACTTGGAATCAATTTTATTTTGTACGACTTTAACATTTTCCTCCGACTTTTGACTATTCTCAAAAGCAGCAACATACTTCCACGCGAGGAGAATCTTTTTGCTGTGGTTAAGTTCTCTTTCTATCGTCTGGAATTCCACGTATCTCGTTCTCTCCTCCTTTAACTTGTTCAATTTTGGTCCTATTTCTTCTCTCAAAATCTGTAAGGTGTACAAGTGAATAAATATCAAGGAGTCAAAATATCAATCTACAAATCGTATCATACAACATACAGTATTTATCTCCTTTAATTTGCTATCCTTCTTCTCTATAGTGATCAGCGCCGACTGCTTCTTCTTCTCGTACATTTTCGTTCCCGCCGCTTCCTCGAGCATAGACAGAATTTCCACCGGCTTCATATTCAACACTTTCGTTATTCTACCTTGCATGATTAAAAAGTGTGGATTGTTCACATTCAACTGGACGGAACAGAACAAATCCTGCACGCGTTTGTTCGGCGCATTCGTCCCATTGATCATGTACTTATTTTTACCGCCGATCACCACCTGTCTGGTGATGACAATTTCTTCATACTGCTCATAACCCATGGGAGATGACTGTTCGTCACGATTATCAAATGTTATCGTAACGCTGGCCTTTTTTATGCCTGCTTGACCAGATTTGTAGACCAAATCTTGCAGGGAGGTAGCACGCACCTGTATTAAATCGAATCGATATTGTCAGTAACATGATTTGGTAAACAAATCATTCACAATTCAACAGACATCGCTGTCGTGTGTGTTAATCGAATAGGAATACTTTTATGGAACATAATTTTTAACAGTGATGATATTGGCAATTAATTATTAATTATAATTGCCAATATTATTATTATTATATATAATCTAAAAATACAATAAGAATTCTTCATTATAAGATTATTACAATTTTAGACTAAATAGTTTTTTATAAAACAATATTACATTACAAGAATGAGGCTATGTTCGAACGTCGTGCATTATTTCGAGTAAATCTTTTAAAAAAATACAAGATATATGCGCGAAAATGGTCGGGATTTACCTGGCCAAGATTCGTAATGCCCAAAACAAAGCATATCGCATCCAAAATATTTGACTTTCCGCTACCGTTAAATCCCGTGATAGCGTTGAATTCCTTGTCGAAGCCGTTTATCTCGATTCGCTTGCCGTAGGACTTGAATCCCTCCAACACGATCGACTTTATATACATGTTTCAATCGGCAGCAAAATACACACGATCGGTACCGGCGCATTGACAATTCGTCAATCGTCTTTCGTGGTAACAACAACAACAACAACACGATCCCCTCACGGCGATTCAAACGCTTTCGAACTCAAACCGATGACTCGCAGGACGCCAACCGATGCGCCACTCGCAGACGGATTTCTCAAGTGCGCTGATTGGCGGCGGAATAGAGAGGTTCTCGTGTCCCCAGAGAAATTCACCGTCTCGTAGCCAATCGGCACGCTTGAAATAATTCGTGGGGCGACAAGTGAGATTGGCTTTATGCACGGTTCACACACAGGTATTCTGACACATTCCCGACGACGTTCGGCGACGATGTGGCATGGGTTTAAGAGAGCCTCTATTTATGACACCTTGTTCGTACTAGTGATACATTCGACAGCGGTATATGTATGGTTTGTTGTGAGAGGAGGATATTTAATGCAAGAGTTCTTTGTGATAATACAGCGATCTGTAACTTCCGAGTTTTTCACTCGGCTCCCGCATGTCCGTCTGGGAGAGGAGATAAAAACAGCGACAGCATGACCGACGCCGGCCAATGTGAGGTCAACGAGAGCTATCGTTTCAAATGGAACAACTATCAGAATCATCTGTCCGACGTCGTGCGGCAGCTCCTGGAGGAGGATTGCATGGTGGATGTCACCCTATCCGCAGCTGGTCAACGTATACACGCGCATCGCATTGTATTGTGCGCGTGTAGCATTTTGTTTCAGGTAAACAACCTCGTTCCGACGCGAAAACTTGTTACAATACTTTCGTAAACAATCTCGCAATTAGACGATTGAATATTATATAGGTATTGTTTAATGACGCAGCAACCGCTCCTTGCCGAAACAATTTTTTTTTTTTAAAGATTTGGCTTTAATTACTTTTTTTTTTTAATTACTTTGTTATGCTGTGTTAACTTGTGTGTGTGTATTGCGAGAGTAACATGTTTGTACACAATTAAATAGCTCTATGCATAACTTGTATAACATAAAATAATAATTATTATATAATCATATATATATATATATATAT